ATTATTGACTTTATTCACATTCCTTTTTTAGAAAGGGGATATTCATTCTTAAAAATCTAGCGTGAATTTTACATTTATAACATAGTACCTCAGTTTCTAGGACATATTTCCAATTCTCAATAGCTACATGTGGTTAGCAACTCCTAGTCACAGGATCTACAGAGTCTGACTATGAAATGAAGCAGTAAGGAATAGAGACTAGATAGGAAAACCAGGAAGTACAGAGGCACATAGATCTGGAATTGTAGGAACATGAACGTGAAGGAAGTGCTTGTTTTCAGAAGCAAGGGCAAGCAGGTCCATACAACAGCCCAGCCATCATCCTGGAATAAGGAATGTCTAGCCAAGTTATCTAAGTTTATATCATCTGGTTTTAGATTTTTTACCAGACACAGAATTCTGAGTCTACTAATAGCTGATGGTTTCAGGTTAGGCCAAGGTCTATGGCCTCTGAGAATCCTCAGACCACTAAACACATGATTGAAAAATTAGCTATGAAAAATGGCAGAAATAAAGGAAAGTTTCACTTTAATCCAGTTTTATAAAAGTCTTATAGTCTATCACTGCAACAAGTTATGTTTCTACAAAATGATTAGGTGGGGTAAGAAAAAGAAATGAGTCTAAGCAAAAGAACACGTAACTTTATATAAATACACTGAGGCACTACAAATGAGAAAACCTACATTTTACTATAGTAATATGTTTGCCTCTTCAAATATTTAATAGCATGGGACCATTATGTATTCTTTGTAGAAATTTGTCATCATATTGGTAGCATTCTTATCTGTAGCATTTATCAAGATATTTTATTCTTCCACCAATTCATGGTAAATAACTGAAAATGGATCTTAGTAAGTGTAGACTGAAGATTGATTCTTAAATGCAATTACTTGGGGTAAATATTTACAATTGTCAATATCAATATTTTAAAATTAATCCTGAATTATATAAAGCAGGAAAGACATCTCATTTTAAATCTTAAGAAGAAATCACAAGCAATAGTATACATAAAGTGCTATTGTTAATAATAGCTATGACAGAATAATTCATTAATATGAAAGTGTTCAAACCCTTCCCTTCTTTCCCAAAAAGAATCTTGCTATTACTAGCTTGATTTTATCCATTTTCCTCCTTCCAAATGAGGGTTATTCTTCTTGAGCTTATGGAGTGAGTACTGAAGATATGTGGTGAAGAAATCAGATGGTACCCAGGAAACAGAAAAAACAGCATCTAGGATCTTAAAGGCTTGTCTTAGAACAAACAGCTAAGTGAAGTGTCAGCGAAATCCACACAGAAGAAGCACACCAACCCATGCAATCTAAGGACTGTAAATAAGATAATTCAAGATTAGAAGAGGGAATTGTATTGGATGTGAAATTATGAGCACCCTGTTTGCAGAAGGCCATGGATGACAGTGAAAGTCACCAACGTCTATTTACAAGAGTCCCAACTCAGATGATGCCCCCATTGAACTCCCTCAGACCATTGACCAGGGATGTCAAAGGTATCAACCCTCAGACAGAGTGCCCTGGAAAGTGGATAATACAGATATAGTTAGCTATCATTTTAGAATTCATCATATATTCATATATCATTTGTTTTCCCTTTTGACCCATTTTTTAAAAATCATTTTATTGGGGGCACATACAGCTCTTATCACAATCCATACATGCATCCACTGGGTCAAGCACATTTGTACATTTGTTACCATCATCATATTCAAAACACTTTCCTTCTACATGAGCCCTTGGTATCAGCTCCTCGTTTTTCCCCTCCCTTCCCTTCCCTCCTTCCCTCACAAACCCTTGATAATTTATAAATTATTATTTTGTCATGTTTTACACTGTCCAAATGCATCTCCCTTCACACACTTTTCTGTGTGCGTCCCCCAGGGAGGGGGCTATATGTAGATCATTGTGATTGGCTCCCCCTTTCTCCTCCTATTTTCCCCATCCCCTCCTAGTATAACTACTCTCATCATTGGTCCTGGGGGCGTTATCTGTCCTGGATTCCTGTGTTTCCAGCTCTTATCTGTACTTGTGTATATGCTCTGGTCTAGCTAGATTTGTAAGGTAGAATCGGGGTCATAATAGTGGTGTGGAGGAAGCATTTAGGAACTAGATAAAAGTTGTGGGTTTCATCAGTGCTACACTGCACCCTGACTAGCTTGTCTCTGCCTTGTTACTCTTCTGTAAGGAATGTTTTGACCCATTTTTAATATGTTTTTGTTTCTATTTTGTGATTTCTGTTGGATTGAGGTTTTTCTGTTGGTGTTTTCGGTATGATTTTCTTTATATGAAACCAGGATAGGTAAATCCACAGATACAGTAACTTGATTAATAGTTCCTTAGGCTCATGGCAGGAGCGATTGGTGAGTAATGGGGAGCTAATAATAATGGGTACAAGAATGAAGAAAAAGTTCTAAAATTGATTGTGGCGATGATTGCACAACTCTTTTTAATGTATTTAAACCACTGAATTCTAAAAAAGATAAAAAGGGAGGTGGTGGTTTTTGTTGGACAGAGACTAAGGTTGTCTATGTAATAGTGTACAAAATTGTGCGAGAAAAACTGAAGAGCATCAATTATTTTTAAATTTAGATACTATGGTTGAAGGTGTTTTAAAGTGGCTGAAGAATATAATCAAGGAGTTTAAAAAGTAAGACTACTTTGAAACTGATTGTGGTAGCAATTGTACAATACTGCTTGTTGTGGGTGCACTATGGAATGATATGATATCTGTATTAGCTCCCAATGATGGGAACTCCCATTTCAAAATGGTTTTGATAAAAAAGAATATAATATAGGAGAATATAAGTAGAAGAAAAAAGTGTATATTTTTGCTATTTTTTAGAAATGCTAGTGAATAAGCTAGTTCCTTTTCTTTTCAGATGGCTTTATTTCTCTCCTTTGACTTCATTTTTGCTTTACCAATCATGCCACCCTGAGGCTGAACCATTGAGATTATAAGAGTATATACATCTCAAGGACTGTAGTTTGTTTACCCAGATGTCAGATTCTCAAAAACATTGCGACAATATCTTTTTTTTAAGATTGTACCAACTTCCAATTCCTTGGTTCTTCAATTGCTTCCTCCCGACTTCCATTCTGACTTCTGTGAAAACTAAGAATTGATCGGTCTTAGTTTTTGTTTCCCTAAAGCTTTTATATTTCTGGGGTTCTTGGTAGGTTACTATACTAAAACTAAAATTATCCGGAAGAAAGAAATTGATGATGACTTTGAAGATTCTGCTTTGGCCTGGGGTACCCACATACTACAGAGTGGACCAATGGCCAACTGATATGACAGACCATATTTTAAAATCCACCAGTAACTTCTAATCCACTGGCTGGGAGCTTGCATTTTGTTTGCTATCCACACCTTGACACCTTTCTAACTGACTGATGTCTGTTATTTAAATGATATACAGAACTCTATTTCTTGTGATTTATCCATATTATAATGTTCTTTTCCCAAAAACCAGTTCACAATCTCACTGATAGTTTTATTCTTAATTCTCAGGGAGGCTACACTATTAAACTCAATCTGAAGGAAAGAATTTAATGGAAGTTTTGAAAAAGAATTTGAAAAAGTTGTGTTTTTCTTAACCCAATTCAGTTTAATGTCAAATATGACCAAATTCAAACTAAATCAACAAATCATATCCAGATTCTATTGTTTAGTCTCAATATTCCTACAGAAAAGTGTAGGGCATCCTTGACTTGCTTATGTTACATGTTCTTTTTAAAGTACACTCATCATGATACATAATGTTCTGAAATTAAAAGAGATTTTTAACCCTGCTTGCACAGTAGAATCTCTTGGTGTCTTGAGAAAGATGATGCTTGATCCATTCCAGAATCACTAAGGTAGTGCTTAGGCATTTGATACCTGTAAAACGTTCCCCAGTTAATTTTATTTTTTTTTAACATTTTACTAGGGGCTCATACAACTGTTATCCCAATCCATACACACATCAATTGTGTAAAGCGCATTTGTACATCATTTCTCAAAAAATTTCTCTCCACTTAAACCCCCGACATCAGGTCCTCATTTTTCCCCTCCCTCCCCGCTCCCCCCTCCCACATGAGCCCTTGATAGTTTATAAATGGGTATTTTGTCATATCTTGCCCTGTCCGACGTCTCCCTTCATCCACTTTTCGGTTGTCTGTCCCCCAGGGAGGAGGTCACACACAGTTCCATGTAATCGGTTCCCTTTCCTACCCATTCTCCCTTTACCCTCCCTGTTTTGCCACTCACACCACTGGTCCTTTAGGGCTCATCCATCCTGGATTCCCTGTATTTTCAGTTCCTATCTGTACTAGTGTATCTCCTCTGGTCTAGCCAGACTTGCAAGATCGAATTCGAGTCATGGTAGTGGGAGCGGGGAGGAAACATTTAGGAACTAGAGGCAAGTTGTATTTCTCATCATTGTTACATCTCACCCTGACTGGCTCATCTCCTCCCCGAGACCCCTCTGCAAGGGGATCTCCAGTGGCCTACTAATGGGCTTTGGATCTCCACTCCGCACTCCCCCCATCATTCACTATGGTAAGATTTTTTGTTCTGATGATCCCTTACACCTGATCCCTTCGACACCTCGCGGTTGCATTGGCTGGTGTGCTTCTTCCATGTGGGCTTTGTTGCTTCTGAGCTTGATGCCCACTTGATTACCTTCAAGCCTTTAAGACCCCAGACGCTATACTTTTTGATAGCCGGGCACCATCAGCTTTCTTCGCCACATTTGCTTATGCACCCATTTGTCTTCAGTGATCTGTTAATTTTAAAATGTAACCAGACTTCATGTTATTTAGATATTCTCTGGTCTTTCTGAAAAATTGTTCCTTAAAGAGATGTTTCTGTTTTCTTTTTTAATTTGTTATACCTAGTTCCAGTTAAATCTAAGATTATATGTCAAAGTCAACAACTCCCTTTTTCTATTTATAGAAACAATATAATTATTAAATGTTCACAATAACTTTCTTTTTTCATTGATTCAGTTTGATGCCAAACTAGCAAGAGTTCAGACTAAATCAGCAAAATCATATCTGGATTCTACAGCTTTGCCACAAAGCATCTACCGAAGGGTATGTGAGCTTTTCTCTCATGACTTTTGCTGAAGAAAATAAAATTTCTTAAAATATTTCTGTAAAACTTATCTAATATTTATTAACAATATGACCTTTAACAGTTGTTTCTTCATGATATTAAATACTTCATATGATCAGAAAGATACTCAATTTTGAATAATTTTTAAAAGAATTTTCAAATTTAGCTAAACATTTGAGCAGTAAATTAAAATGTTAGAGAATTTCCCTAACTTTTGGACCTTCTAAGGAGTTCCATAAGGTATTTTGAACTAAAGCTGACTGGGCGATTTGGTTCAACTCCTTTATCTGTGAGGTTGAGCATTTCCAAGGCTTAGAGAGGTGAAAACAAAGGTGCTAGTGGGATATAACCTTTAACGTTCCCCCAAAACAAAACTTACACACCTTTCAAAGTAAGGTCTTTTTAAAATACCTAAATCAAAACTGTGTTTTTTATGTAGATTTGTTGTTCTTTGTACTTCGTCTCATTATTTCTAAGTTGCCATAACAAATTTTTTCTATTTCATTTAGAAGCTTCAACATCTTCAAGAAGAAAAAAACAAGGAGGTGTCAGCTCTCCGTGATACAATTCGAGATTTGGAGCGGCGCCTTTCTGCTTCCAAAGATTGTCACCTTAAGCATCGACGGTTTTGATCAGAGCAGTAAACGCATCATCCCCTACTTAGTTTTACTAAAAGCTGTTGAAAAATTCACTTCTGTTTTCAATGACATACTGCCTAAATAATCACAGCCATGTGAGGAAAAAAAAGACAGCTTTAAACTTTTTTTAATTGCATTTATTTCAACAAATTCACCAGTCTTTGGCCAGTTGTGTATTGCCTTCTTGCTTACTAGTATTAACCATAAATGAGTTCAGATTCACAAGACTAAATTTACCTAATGAATCATCATTAACTATGGAAATACTTTCTAAGCAGCCTAAAGCTACACAACTTTATTTTCTCATCTCCCTTATATCTTTCAAACCCAGTACTCCAAATCCATAAAGAGTGTGATAAAGAAAAGACGATATAAAGGATTCATTCATATTGATACTAAAAATCTAATTATAAGTTTAAGACACAGCAAAGGATAGGTGGTTATTTAAAATGTAGTTATATATGCTTTGGCAGCAAATTATCCATGTATTAGGCCCTTGTGAGTCTTAAAGAATCCACTTATTTTCCTATAGTTTTCATCAGTTTAAAATGCACAATTAAAAAGACAAAGAGTATATTGTTTTCAAAGATAATGGAAAATGTGTCTCTGTTGTTCTTCCTCCATTCTAAATTGCAGAGTATCCAACAGAAACCCCTAGGTCATAGTTTACGTTTCTGTTCTCATTAATGCAAAAAGAATGCTGGAAAAAGAAGAAGGAAGACATATTGACCAGTGCTGCAATCACTTGTCAGTCGCCTGGTACTAACCAAATACGGCCTGGGTCAAAATTTCTGTGACATCAATTTTAAAATTTGGAAGCCAATATAGTAGATCTCTCTCCATGTTCGCACAAATCCAATTTGAATTTTGAATCACTATTTATTAGGTAGCTTATAAACATGCTTGAAATAAAATTGTGACCAGATTGGTTTGAGAAGTATATCCTATTTAAAATGCTTAGTTTGAAGGTCATTTTCATTTTTCTGCCGTATTTTTTCAGCTTCAGCTGGTGCTGGCTTCTGTGGGCTGAAACTGCTGACTCCTCTGTCAGGCGGGTAGAGGCAAACGTCACTGTCAAGACTCAATGACGTTCTCCTCGGCCCAAAGCCCCTGTCAGCTACATAAGGTTGGAAGGTGCTCTTCGCACTGTCAGGTGATTGCAGACCCTGCCTTCTCAAATATCAGATGTCGACAATGTCAGCATCAGCTTCTTGAACCCAACTCCGAACCTCTGGACAACTTTCAGAGTAATTGATTTCTACAGCGCTTTCGTCAGAGCTGCTTCCGTGGGAGGGAAAGCTGTAAACTTTCACTCCCTGGCATATCTCAGTTCCCTGGGTGGCCCTGGCTTTCATGCCCTTTGTGCTTGTAGTGGCGATGAAGGTCTAAGGGAGAGGGATGCTGGATAGTGTCTGGTTCGCTTGGGCTCTGATTTTCTGAAGGCTGGCTGTTCTCATGCTGGTGCCCAGGCCTGTGGTGGTGGTGGTGGTGGTGGTGGTGTGGCTTAGCGGCCTCAGTTGCTTCTTGCACACTAGCAGATGCTATTCCCTTACATACAGCTTCATCTTCCAGATTCTGAAACAAAGATATAAATCACTTATCAACTTGTAGATGTAGTAGAAAAACATGGAAAGATGATTTGTAGAAGTAGCATATATGAAATTCCAACTAGTTCATTTTGAGCTGGCTGGGCTGGTTTTGTTTTTCCCTCCCACCATACTAAATGAGAACTGAGTGTGATGTCAGTCTCAACAAGTAGACTTTTAATTCAAGTTTGGCTCCCATCATTAGCTAATTATTAAGTGCTTGTGCTCAAAGTTCACATGTATTAATAAATATTAAAGTGTCTCTCAAATGAATTGATGTTACTCTTTTACAAATAGATAAAATAGGATGTAATATAATGAAACTTACTGAACAAGAGAATTCAAATTTTGCCTCTTTTATCAAGTACCATTTCTAAATCTTTAAAAATTTTGAAGAGGAATTTGAGAATTCTGAGACTTAAAGAAAAAGCCAAATCTCTGTAATTTATTTCTGCTGAAGCAGATCTAGATAAACTTGTTTTAAAAGTTTACATTGCAGTAAAGACAACCAAATCTCTTATCCTAAACTCAGTTGACTTACATGGAACTTTTCCACCTATGTCAAGAATGCATCTAATCTGTTAGATTCTGTAGCACACTTATCTCTCTCTGAGAATTCAAAATGTCCATCAATTCTGCAAAAAACTGGTAGTTTTTCACATCTCAGCCTATGCCAGGAAGTGTTTTGAATTTCACCAACAGTAATGTGACCCAGCTGTAGGGCTGTCTTGTCAGATGAGAGAAGCCTTTTACTGCCTTTTCCCCATTAACCATGCATTCCAATTTGCATGACTACTCTAGGTCTTCAGTTTGCTCAGTCTTGCTCTGTTGTTTCACAGTACCCATAGATCATAACTCAAGTCTATCCAAATAGATAGGTAATATTTGGCTCAGAACGTTGGCTGAGCTGACTTCTAAATAAAATTGCAAAATCAATTTTGATAGACAAAAACTCATTAAATGGAATGGCTAGATATTTTGGAAGTTTTGAATGTTTTATAAGTTCCACTGGGTTTTTAGTATAAAACTGTTAAGTATTAACAATAGTAAGTACATTTCTTGGTCATTTTTGAATTACTTTTAAATAAGAACTTAATAATAATTTACTATAAACTTGAAACAATCTGATGTTTATACTATGCAATGCTCTGAATATGCAATAATTACATAATGCAAATAGCTGTAGCACTCTATTAAATTAAAAAAACAACAATTGCTATATTCCACTGATTCCATGAGGCACATTTTTTCGCATTTTAAATATCTCAAAAGTCAGAATATATCCTGCTATTGCTGGTGTAGTATTCTGTCTTACTTTTATTGATAGCATTTTTCTTTTTTAATACACAAGGTAGCATCTCATATGACGTTAGATATGATAAAGGGGAAAAACAAATTTGATGTGATCTATTAGGTACAGATAAGATATTATTACTATTTTCAGATAGTCCATAAAGTTTAAGCATATTAGAGGAAATGTTTCAGCATCAATAGTGTACCTAGTTATAATTAAAACTATTAGTCCTTTATAAAAAATGTGAAATAAAGAAATAATTCCAAAATGTGAGGAGTCAATATTGCTGGCAATTTACTAAGCTAGAACTTTATTTGCATTATTTTAGGCATTTCATCCTCATAGGATTATTATAAATAATATTAAAATGCAAAAATTGAGATAACTAAAATAATTTCTTTTCCTTAGTAACTAAAAACAGTAACTAAATTGTTCTTTGTTATTTGAGAGGAATTCCTTTAGAATGGAGGAAAACCTGAAAGGAATACAGTTCACAAATAAAATTCAGAATTATTTTAAAATCTGAGTTCACATTTAGTCAAGTAGTTCTGTCAAGGAAGCAGTATTTGATATTACTTTTTTTATGTGAAAAAATGTCTAGGTAATATAATATAAAGCTAATTCTTCAAGTATCTGTTTTATAAATAATACTTAAATATAGTGCTTCTCATAACAAAAAAGAAATATTCTGTTGCTAGGAAAGAAATATCAGCAATGAGTAGATAATTTGTTATATTTTGAAATAAATTTCAATTACAGAGTGAGCAAAGTAAAGACTTTCCAGCAAAACTCTTAGGCTTACATCTCTGACAAATTAAATAGTTATTAATTCCAAGTTCCCTCCAGAAAACTGGAGTCACTATGCTTTTGTGTGAACATGTTCAGTGTTTTACAATAATGTTTTATGTTGACCAATTTCTTTGAGCGCTTACACTCATGCAACATCACTTGATATAATTGAGATATCCAAGCTATATGTATGTATTCTTGTAGGTAAAGGCTGCAATATAATCCTTGAAGAGATGTTATTAATGATATGTTCTATGAGAGTAAATGTGTATAATTATAAAAATTACTGTGTTGTTTCTCTTTACTACACCAGCAGAAACACTGAATACCTAATTGGTCATGAAACACTACTTATTTAGCTAGCTCCTAAACTATTTCTTCTTTTCTCCCATTAAGAATGATTGAGAAAAATACCATGAGAGAGCAGTTTCCACATTTCTTTTCGCAGTAAGCAGTCTTAATGGCAGCTTCCACAAATGGAGAAGTTAGGAAGGAGTAAGGCACACCAAGATGATATACAAGACGGCCACATCTAAAAAGGAATAAATACAACATTATTGCAATATTTTCTGTATCACAGTCCTACTCAAGGAGTCTGCAGCAGTTCCTGGAGGTCACCTTTCAGCCGCATAAAAAATTGCTTATACAATAAACATTGTTCCCTTCTTCAACTATGTGGAACCCAACAGTCAACATTTACCCTAAAGCAAAGATGACAAGACAAGGAAAGGCAGGGAAACGAGATCAATGGGAAGCAGAGCATGTGGAGTGGGACTAATTAGAATGCTGGCACAGTGTGAAAATTGTAACCAAAGTCACAGAGCAATTTGTGTAAAAATTGTGAAATTGTAACCTAATTTGCTATGTAAACTTACACCTAAAACACTTTTTAAAAAAGACCTGTCTAGAACTTATCTAAAGAGCCGGGGTGGCACTGCTGAGTAAGCAATAGACCACTAACCAGGCCAGTGATTCAACCCCAGCAGTGCCCCAAGAGAGAAGCATGGGCTATCTGCTCCCATAAATACTTGTAATTATGGAAACCCTGTGTGGGGCCCCTGTAGTCAGAATCCATCCCATGGCAGTAAATCAGAACAGGTAGTAGAGAGAGGTAATGGTTCTCTTTTGGAGCGTCAGTAAATTTCCTTAGGTCGAGCCTGCAAGAGAGGTCCCTGACGCTCATGCCAGGTAATGTCGTGACAAGACTACAGTGAGTCTAATAGTGTGTTGTTGTAACCCTGCGTAACATTTAGTATATGTAGTATAGTCGCTATTACTTGTTCAAATACAATTAAGTAACTGACATATAAATTCTACAAATGACCAAAGCATGGCCTTGTCTTAGATGGGGCCTTGAAACCACAACAGCTCTTCATAATGCTTCAGGCTCTCCCCACCATCGCATCAGTGCTGACTCATAGCGATCCCCCTGTGAGTTTCCAAGTCTGCAACTGTTTATAGAGTAGAAAGGCCAGCCTTGCTGGTGGTTTTGAACAGCCAGCCATGAGGATCTCACCCAGATCAGTAATCACTACACCACAGGGGCTCCTCTGCTTAAAACAGCACAGTCAAACTCCACACAACAGGAAATCGTGACTCTAAGAAAAGATGATCAAGTTTTGGCCAGTAGTCCTGTATTTAAAAGTTTACCTGTTGGGACAAAAAAATGCAGTGCCACTAAGGAAGTGGAGTCATAAAACTAGCATTCTCACAATGGCAGGGTTGAGCAGCCCTTCTGCCTCCATATTGCCCAGTATATGCTCTTTCATGGGGCCATCAAAAATTATGCTACATAACTGACTAAATTAGAAGTTTGAATGCCTACAAGAATATAATATTTTTTAAATTTTAGCATAAGACCCAGTAAGACTTAGGCGCAGGCGGAGCTTGTCCCACCATCTCTGAAGAAACAAGACAGCACCAACAAGGAACGTTGGTGACAGCACGTAATGCACGCATCACGGTTCCTCAATTTATGACTGTTACATGCTCCTGTCATCAAAAGCAGCCTAGTGCATATAGTGGCTGAATGATTAACACATTTTAAAACGTTCAAGTAGGTAATCTTAAAAGTATAAATTAGATTAGAGACAAGGCAATTATGGTCATGTTAATTCATCTTAACAATGCTTACATTTCAATTATATGTGAAATGCAAATTGATCTTTTTATTTCTTCAGAATCCCAAATTACAGGAGGGGAAATTCAGTCAAGTTTCCTTATTTCTCTTCTAAAAGCTTTACTTTCGTGCTCGCTTCGGCAGCACATGTACTAAAATTGGAAAGATTCAGAGAAGATTTGTGCACAAGGATGACACACAAATTCATGAAGCATTCCGTATTTTGGGGGGGAGATAGTTATAAAAGTCAGGAGACAGACCTGGAATTATGTATGCTTTTTCATATTCTTTGTTTTTGCTATTTTTTCTTTTCTCTTTTTATTCAGTCTTTTGTTTTCTTTTATTTTTGTTTCAGTTATTGTTTGGCCTACCAATATAAGCTAGACATGGGAAGCAAGGGCAAGGAGAAAGCAATGGGACCAGCTGTTTCGGAGGGGTCTGGAAGGAGAAGAAAGCTGGGGAAAGGAGCAGTGAGCAAACAACGCCATAGGCAGGGGATCAACTAGGAAATTAAAAGCAACAAGGGGGATGTAGAGATTCCAGTAGTATTGGAGCAACAGCAATCTAGCTGAGAAGAATTATTAAGAGGTAGGAGAAGGTTGAGCATAAGGCAGGAGGAAGGTAAAAGGAAATATAGGAAGCAAAGTTATGGATAGAGGTATAAATGTAGGGGTACACTTATGTTAAAAAAGTTAATTCATAAAAATAGAGGTATTCCCCTCCCTCGAGAAGAATTCACTTCAGAGAACAGTACTGAAGCTACAGCTCAGGAAGAGGGACATGACTGATCAGAGCACACAGGAGCAAATGAAGGGGGAGGGGGAGAGAGTGGAGCACATCCTGGCCCACCAAGCCCTGAGGACGATATTCCTGCTCAGAGCAGCCAAGGCACAGAGAGGACCATAGGGTCAGCCCCACCACGAGATATGATGTCCCTCACTGACCCATAGTGCTATGGGGGACAACACTGGAGACACAGTGCAGGAATTGTGCTCGATCTGACCCTACCACACCAAGGTGAAACACTAAGGGCATGCAATAGAACAGCAGAGGGAGCAGAGCAATGAAGTCCCCATGAAATACCAAAAATAGGCTTTGGGCCAGGGCGTGGCACCCCATCAGACTCAACTGGAAAACACTCCTAAAGGTCAACAAACAGACGAACTATTTATAGGCTTTTCTCTTTTTTTTTGTCCTTAGTTTTTTGTTGTTTTGTTTTGCTCTGTCTTGTTTTTGTGCATATTATTATCTCTGCATGTCTACGTAGATAAGATAGGTGGGATAAACAATCTGGAGGAGAAAACAATGGGACTGACAGTTCTGGAGGGACATGGGAAAAGGAGAGGCAGGGGGAAGGAAGTGGGTGTTAACAAACCCAGGGATAAGGAAACAAGTGATTTAAAATCGATGCAAGGAGGATGTAGGAGGCCTGGTAGAGTTTGATCAAGGGCAATGTAACCGAGAGAAATTACTGAAACCCAAATGAAGGCTGAGCATAATAGTGAGGCAAGAGGAAAGTAAAAAGGAAATAGAAGAAAGAACTAAGAGGCAAAGGGCATTTATAAAGGTCTAAATATAGGCATGTACATATGTAAATATTTATATATGATGATGGGGAAATAGATCTATGTACATATATGGTATAGGTTTAGTATTAAGGTAGCAGATGGACATTGGGCCTCTACTCAAGCCCTCCCTCAATGCAAGAACACTTTGTTCTATTAACCTGGCATTCCATGATGCTCACCTTCCCTACATGATCACTGAAGCCATAGCAGCTGCATAAGCAAATGTGGTTAAGAATGCTGATAGACCCAAGATATCAAAAGATATAGCATCTTGGGTCTTAAACACTTGAAGATAAACAAGTGGCCATCTAGCTGAGAAGCAACTCATGGAAGAAGCAAACCAGCCTGTGTGATCATTAGGTTAAGATTGGATCCAGTATCAGGCATCAAAGACCCAGAACCAAAAAAAAATCATATCAATGTTGAATATGGGGGAATGCAGAGTGGAGACCCAAAGCCCAACTGTAGACAATTGGACATCCCTTTACAGAAGGGTCTCAGGGAGGAGACAAACTAGTCAGAGTGCAGTATAGCACCGATGAAACACACAACTTTCCTCTAGTTCTTTAATGCTTCCTTCCCCCCACTACCATGACCCCAATTCTACCTTACAAATCTGGCTAGACCAAAACATGTACACTGGTACAGATAAGAGCTGGAAACAGGGAATCCAGGACAGATAAACCCCTCAGGACCAATGTTGAGAGGAGCCATGCCAGGAAGGGAAGGAGAAGGTGGGGGAACAGGGGGAACTGATCACAATGAACTATCTATAACCCCCTCCCAAGGGGATGGACAACAGAAAAGTGGGTGAAGGGAGACATCTGTCAGTGTAAGACATGAAAAATAACAATAATTTATAAATTATCAAGGGTTCATGAGGGAAGGAGGGTGGAGGAGGGAGGGAAAAAATAAGAAGCTGATACCAAGGGCTCAAGTAGCAAAAAATGTTTTGAAAATGATGAGGGCAAAAAATGTACTGAAAATGATGAGGGCAAAAAATGTACAAATGTGCTTGACACAAGGGATGAATGGATGGATTGTGACAAGAGTTGTATGAGCCCCCCAATAAAAGGATTTTTTTAAATGAAGAAAATGTTCTAAGATGGTGGCAATGATTGTACACCTCTTCTTAATATAACTATTGAATTATACGATTTGTGACTATATGCCAATAAAATGTGTTTTTTATTTCAAAACAAAACAAAAATGAACAAAAGAAAGCTTAAAAAAACCAGAGGTATTGGCCTATGTACATATACTTATATGGCAATACATTGAAAAGTGGATGGGCTTTGGGCCTGTGCTCAACCCCTCCCTCAACACAAGAACACTTTGTTCTAACAACCTGGCATTCTGTGATGCTCACTCTCCCAACACAGTCACTGAAAACAGAATGGGCACATTAGCAAATATGAAGAAAGCAGATGGTGCCTGGCTATCAAAAGATATAGCGTCTGGGATCTTAAAGGCTTGAAGTTAAACAAGTGGCCATCTAGCAGAGTAGCAACAAGCCCACATGGAAGAAGCACACCAGCCTGTGTAAAGTGTCGATGGAATCAAGTAACAGGCAGCAGAAGACTCAAAACAAACAAACAAAAAAATATTGTTGAGAACAAGGGGTAGGGGGGGTTGGAGCAGAGACAATAGGACATCCTCTCACAGAAGAGTCACAAGGAAGGGATGAGTCAACCAGGGCACAGCATAGCACTAATGAAACACACAGTATTCCTCAGGTTCTTTGAGGCTTCCTCAGCCCCCACTATCATGACCCCAGTTCTGCCTTTCATTTCTCACTAGACTGGAGCATGTACACTGGTACAGATAAGAGCTCATGACACACATGGAATCCAGGTCAAATAAGACCCTCAGGAACACAAATGGGAGTAGTGAAGGTAGGGGGAAGGTAGAGGGAGGACGGGAGAATGGGGAACCATTTGCAGTGATAGACATATAATTACCCCCTCCCCGCTGCCAGGGGATGAACAACAGAATCTTGGGTGAAGGAAGACAGTGGTTGGTGTAAGATTTGAAAACAATAATAACTTACAATCTACCAAGGGGTCATGAGGGGAGGAGGGAGGGAAAAAAGAGCTGATACCAAGGGCTCAAGTAGTAAATGTTTAGAAAATGATGGTGGCAACATATGTACAAATATGCTTGATACAATTGATGTATGGAATATTATAAGAGCCCCCAATAAAATTATTTGAGGTGGGGGAGCTTTATTTCAAGAAAGTAATTTCAAAAACATTAAAACCAAACACTACATGGACTCATTTTGAAACTGAGATTTGGGGAATAAAATAAAAGTAGATGTTATTTCAAATCACTTACTGTTTAATTGAAATAAAGCAGGTATCTTTTCCTCAGTTTGGGGGCTGGGGAGGGAAAGGGGGAGAGAGAGGACATACCTATCGTAGATGAGAAAGTCATCTTTACTTCCATCTAAGAGGGTCCAGACATCTGTTTGGTTTTCTTCTTGTTGGTAAACAGTAATATTCTCTGAAACTTGGTCTTTAAGATGTGTGTATTTTAATTGAGAAACAAGGCTTTGATGGTTGACAATGACATAGGAGATATTAGAATAGCCTTCTTTTTCCAGTTTTACACGCAGGTTTTCCAATCTAAAATATTTGGGTAAAATAGATAAAATGTATAATTTCCCTCAAAATTTATTTTCCCCTTCTTCCTTAGTCTGTAAATGAGACTCACTTTTTTATTTACAAATATCTCTTCTTTATATTATTCTAAGATTCTAAAATGTCCATCTGTAAGCTATGTATTGAGTACCTCAGGAGAAATATGAGGCTTTGTACACCCATAAAGAAATGACTTCAGGAACTCACAGGGGCATTTCTACCCTGTCCTTTGGGGTCTCTATGAGTTGGTGATCAGGAGGTGTCCACAGAGGCAGGTCAACAACGGAATCAACCCAATGGCAGTATTAGTTTTAGTTTGGGTTCTTGGTTAAAACTTTATGTGGGCTTTACACAATTGATGTGTGTATGGATTGTGATAAGAGTTGTATGAGCCCCTAATAAAATGATTTAAAAAAAACCTTTATGATAAATGCTTGCACATACATTAGCTCATTTAGTTCTGAAATCCATCCTATCAAGTGTATATCATTTCTCATCTTGCATATTCAGAGAATTTTACCTAATAAATATTTGGTAAATAACCAAACATATTTTTGTTACACTTGTTCTGTTTTTAATATATATTTACTAGAAAAATGAGCCAAGACTTGTGCTTACATGTTTACTGTTTATTCTACTCTGGAAAGTCGGTCTGTTTCCTCAGTTTCCAATATTGAAGTAATCAATCCAGTTTCAGGAGTCCATGTCTTCACTGCACAAGTAGTATAAATTTATAAAATACAGGTACGCAAAAAGAAAACAAGCTCATAGCTCAGGAAAGCCACCGTAGACATTTTGGCATAAATCCCCTAGCCTTGCTTCTGATAGCATGTTCTTTGTAACAATGTGTTTTGTTTTCAAGAGGGGGAAATAAGACCTAAGGGATGCACCTTTCCCGTTGTTCTTCACTCCCCACCCCACCCCGGTAAGAAAGCAGAGGCCACCGAAGGGCTCCCTCACCTAGATGCCTGCCGAAGGCACGCGTATCAGCTGGCTTGAAGAAGAGCAACCACAGTCACTGAGCCGTTGGCGTTCAGCATCGGCTCTTCTTCCCGTATTCTCCAGGCTGGGGGGTGCTTACAGAAGGAGCTGTGTCCCTGGCTCTCTGTTCCTCCCCCAGGGAGGAGACAGAGAGCCAGGGCAAGCCCCAGGCCGCTCCACATCACTGGGATTTTCCTGTAAAAGAGAAAACCTTTCTGTCAGCAACACAGATCAGGTCAGCCCTCGGGATTTCTGCACATCCCACAGACACCATTATACTTCCTAGGAAAGTGTGGCCCACGGACTGCCCACGTTGTTGGGCCTCCCTGTGCTGAATTTGCCCATAAAGGGAATAAAAAGTATCAATCCAAGGCAAGGGAATTGCCAAAGTCACTCACTAAGAAGTTTCTGAAGTGTTTTCAGACGGTGCTAGGCACGTTTATATTTGTGGCCCTGGTCACAACAATCAGGTGACCACGGTCCCGTTTGGAGGTTGAGAAAACAAAGTCTAAGGGAGACTCTAGGGAACTTGCCCAAGTCCACATAAGCCACTCAAACCAGTTCTGTTAAACTCAAATAAGACCTCTTAGCCACTGAAAAAGATTGATTTTTTTTTTTTTCATTTAGGTAGAACACCTTGCAAAACTTTATCAGCTAGTTGGGTTTGGGTGTGTTTTTGTTTTTGTTTTTTTATTCTGTAAAATAGGAAAAAACTATTTTTAAAAATCAGTCTTATATATTATTAGTTTGGCTAGAATCTCCTTTGTTTAGAATGTAAATTCACTCCTTACAGAAACCATAGCATGAAATCACACTTTTCACAGAGAAAACACTTCTAACTGACTAACTGGTGGATATAAATAACAAGGTAATTTTATGTATTTCACACATTTGTCTCACTTTTTGCTTTTTTTTTTTTAAGAAAAAAATAACCAAAGCTATTGGCAGATGTCAGGAAATTTCAATTCCAGTTTTTCCAGTGTTATAATAATCAATAAGCTTATTCTACTTTTCTGGGTTGTCTGTTAATCTCTTCAGATCATTTTTAACATAATAAAAGTTTCATTATAAGTAGAGGCAGCTGTGTAAAAAAAAAGTCAAGGCAAATAACAAATTTCCAGATTTACTGGAAGCAGACCATTAAATGAACCTGATGTGAACTTTACTCATCTCACTACTTTTCCATCACAAAACCCTTAGATCTTAGATCTGCAATGCTGCACACTTAGCCTGAAAAGTTTCTCTCTGCAATAGGGTGAGAACTGTGAGGGGATGTGTCCCTTGGCTATGAAAGCCAAGGCCACACTCTGCCCTGTCCAGAGTGAAGGAGAAATGCCATGTGGGGGACATGAGCAGTTCCAGAAAGAAAAAGGAAAGGGGAGGGGCCCAGGGGAGGGCAGCGTCCTCCATTTCTCCCCTGAAGGAACCTCTGCGTGGGAGTCTTTGCTTTGTCGCCCAAAACCACCCACTCTCCACTTAGATTGTAAAACTCTCTATTCAGTCACAGTCCGCCTGATTCTGACATGAATTTTAGCTCTTTTCTGGGTAATGCTTGCCTTGTGAACCAAATCTGCTACACACACACACACACACACACACACACACACACACTGTTATTTTTGTCTTGTTTTCTTTCTGGAACTGCTTGCCTAGACATCACACCACCCTCCCCCTGCCATCGACCCAATGCTTACTCATAGCGACCCCCTGCGGGTTCCCCAGACTAACAGCTTACGGGAGTGGGAGTGTGGACACTCGTCTTTCTCCAGCAGAGCCGGCTGGTGGTTTCAAACTGTTGACCATGCTGATCGCAGACCAACACATAACCACGACACCTCCAGGCCTCCATTCTAGAACAGCTAGTTTAGTCTGTCTTACAACGGACACGCTATTTTAGTAGGAGGCTGAACATACAGTACTGATAACCTAACAATAACAACCTTTTCCAGGACAAAACTGTTTGGATTCTCCCCGGGCTTCCCTGCTCCCAACTGCAACCTAAGCTTGCAGAAGACAAGGCAGGAATCGCCAAGAACTGTCTGATGTGTCCACGGCAGAGCTTCACACCACACTCAACTTCAGACTGGGTTCTCTTTTATTGCTTTCTTTACGACCTTTACACGGTTTTTGGTTTGGTTTGGTTTGGTTTTTCATCTAATCGAAGGAAAGAAGTATTGTATCAGACATAGAAACAAAAGATTTACCAAATCCTGAAAGAATCAAGTGTGACAAAATAGTTTCTACTTACAAAATCCCTGCTTCCTCTCTCGGCTCCGTTGCACAGCTCCACAAAGCCACAGCACAGCTCTCCTACTTATAGTCCTGTTGTTTACTGTCCACCGCCCTTCCCCAGGCCCCTCCCTCCCCAGCTGCAATCCAAAGTTCAGGGCTCACGTCGCATGATCTTGCAGACTGTCAACAAACCATGAGCTGACCATTATTATCACCTTAACAGACGGTGTCTGGACTGTCATGCAGAGTGTGAAGGGAAAGATTTTAGAGATGAATACAAGTAATAATTTATTTCCTATCCGTTTCAGTCACCCCAATATCTGAGATTAAATGGTACAGTCGGGGGCGGGAAGAAGGCCTAAGTGTACACAAGGGCCCAAAATCACGTTCTTTTCCAAAGGACGATCAGAAAAAACACTTGCTGAGTCAGCAGCCCCGCAGCTGCTTTGAAAAGAAATGCCTTTCCTCTTGCTTTGTGGTGGGACCGACTCCCCACAGCCTGCGAGCGTCTACCATTCCCGTTTCCTGTAACTGCAGACCTGCTGGGGTTGTTCTGGAATGTTTAAACTGTGAACGTGGGTGGGAATCGCACAGGACCTCCGCTCTCTTCTTATTGATTGAAGGAAGGAAGGAAGGAAGAAAAGAAGTCCTGGACATGTAGTGGCTGTGCCTTGGGCAGCGATCCGCATGGTCAGCAGTTAGTTGTAAACCACCAGCAGCTCCACTGGAGAAAGACAGGGCTTTGTACTCCACCTTGGAAACCCACCGAGAGAGGGTCCCTGTGCGGCAAACACCCCAGAGGGATGTGTTTGTTGCTCTTGCATATCTAAAGCCTAAGGAGCCTTGGCGGCGCTGTGATGATGTGTGGAGCTGCGCTCCACAAGAAGAGTTACAGTCTCTTGGGGCAGTTCTCCACAGCATGGCAGTGACTTTGGAGGCTTTAATCTAAAGACCAGGAGACTAGAGGCACTGTCTTAATCATAGGACTGCTAACCATAAGGCCAGAGGTTCAAATTCACCAACCGCTAAGCAGAAGAAAGATGCGGCTGTCTACTTCTGTAAAGATTTACAGCCTCACAAACCCTATGTAGGGTCACTCTGAGCGGGAATCAACTTGCTAACAGTGAATATCGCAGGATCTGAGGGAATCCAGACCTCATTTGTATTAGCACTCACTCACTGGAAAACCTATATATATCTACAACAGTCCTGACTATAAATGATGCAATATTTCTTTGTTCTGTTCGAACCACTGCCTGTTAGTCCAGGTACAGATTTCACATGAGCACAATTAAGAGTTCAGGAATTTCTATTCTTCACAATGTTACCCCTGATTTGTTATACTCTATATAATCTAATGCTTTTGCATCATCAAGAAAACACAAGCAAACATCTTTCTGGTAGTTTCTGCATTCAGCCAAGATCTCCCTGACACTAGTAATGAGATTCTCTGTTCCTTGGGTCCAATGCACCAGAGTCCACAAAGGGACATCTTTGCTCTTCAGTACTTTAAAGAGGTCTTTAGAACCATATGGTTTCTGAATTCCCATCCTTAAGAAATGCTATCCATCATTTGTTATCCTCCATACATGACCCTCCATACATCCCCTTATAAGCAAGCAAACGTTGGGCAATGGAAGACCACAGAAGAATGAATTCATTTGAATTATGGTGCTGGTAAAGAATATTGAAGATGCCAAATGTCAGGGGAAAAAATCTGTCTTGAAGTATTACCAGAACATTCCTTAAAAGTGAGAATGGTGAAACTTCATCTTTGGACATGTCATCAGGAAAGACCAATCCCTAGAGAAGGACATTGTGCTTAGTAGAGGATTAGAAAAAAGAGTAAGAACCTCAAGGAGATGGATTGCCACAGTGACTGCAACATGGGTTCAAATGTATGAATGGTGGAGACCAGCAGTGTTTTGTTCTGTTCAAATAGACTCACTGCCATGCAGTCAATTCTAACGCATAGCTATAAGTCAGCACCTCAGAACAATAACACAATAGTTAATTATCATGAGCATCTTTTTCTGTGTTGCTTAGCCACTTGCAATTCTTATTGGTGATATTCTGTTCATGTCCTTTGCCTATTTCTTAATTTGGGTTGTTTATCTTTTAGTTGTTGAGTTGTTACAGTTGTCTATATAATTTATAAATTAGAACTACAAGAAGATATCCAAAAAAATAGAAAATAGCTCCTCTGGGCGGAGCTTTCATAGTATGAATTTGTCTTGCTAGGCAAGCATGGTGCAACTCACTTTGAATTAGTGCACCCAGTGGCATTACCTAGGAAGGTTCTCTCTGGTCATAGCTGATTTAAAAGAACAGCATGCAGCTGTGAAATTTTGTTTCTTACTGGGGAAAAATGCCACAGAAATTGTTATGATGTTTAACACAGCTTACCAAGACAGCACTATGGGGAAAACTCAGGTGTACCAGTGGTTTACTTGTTTCAAAAAAGCTGAAATGTCAATTGATGACAAACCTCATTCTTGATGTCCATCAACTTCCTGAATGGACAAAAATATCGACTCATAGTGCATTTGGAGCTTGTTTCACCAGGTCAGACTGTTAATCAAGTTTTCTATTTAGAGGTTCTGAAAAGATTGCCCAACAGTGTGCAGAAAATAAAGGCCTGATTTGTGGTAGATGGGGACTGGTTTTGCCACCACGGTGACAATACACCTGGTCACACAGCCATCTCAGTGTGCCAGTTTGAGGAGAAAAAAAACCCAAACAAACCACATGCCTCTCTTGCCCCATGCACCTTACTCACCTCACCTCACTCTGTGTGAATTCTTTTTGTTTCTGCGAATGAAGAGGGACAAGAAAGGCCAGCTATTTGATGATGTAGAAGAGGTGAAGAAAAAAATGAGGAGGTGCTGACAGTCATTCAAACAGATGAGTATGAAAAATGTCACCAAAAATGGAATTGTAGATTTGACAAATTTATTAAGCAT